TAGTTCAAAGCAGGGTATAGAAGGGTGTTTAGATTTATGGGAATAGGAAGATAAGGGAGGAATCCTTGGAGGTGGGGCAGCTTAAGTAATATGAGGGCAAGGTAGAGGGTGGAAGTAAAGTAGAGGAATTAGGAGGGATATGAAATAAGAGATAAGAACAAACATAAAAACAAAGCTCAGAAGGAGAATTTATTAAATAAATGTCTATATATGTATTTATGTATGTGTATATATGTAAATGTGTATCTATATATCAATACACACACACATATATATACACATATATATATATGTATATATATATATCCACATTTAATTGTAGCCTTCTGGAGAGGGAAAAGAAGAGAAGAAAAGAATAAAAGTAAAAAGTGCATAGCAAAGAACAAAAGATAACTAACAAGGAAGCAAAGATAGCTCTCAACACAACATGTAGTATTTATTATATAAGCTTCTTTCTTTCTTTCTTTCTTTCTTTCTTTTTGTTTTTTGTTTTTTTTTTTTGGTGAGGCAATTGGGGTTGAGTGACTTGCCTAGGGTCACATGGCTAGTGTTAAGTGTCTGAAGCTAGATTTGAACTCAAGGTCTCCTGACTCCAGGGCCAGTGCTCTATCCGCTATGCCACCTAGCTGCCCCATACGCTTTCTTGAAATGGAAATTTATTGTTCTGTATTTTGAATCCCCTCTTACATTCTGCTGTGCACATGAGATACTTTTTTTTGTATTTAAGTTTATAATTTTTTTTCTTATTGCATATTTAAGTTTCAGTAATAAAAAAAAAGAAAGAAAAAATACCTGTAGACAATATAAAATACTTGGGAGTATACCTGCCAAGACAAATCCAGGAACTATTTGAATACAATTACAAAACACTTTTCACACAAATAAAGTCAGATCTAAACAATTGGAAAAAATATTAATTGCTTATGACTAGGCAGAGCCAATATAATAAAGATGACAATTCTACCTAAATTAGTTTACTTATTCAATGCCATAGCAATCAAACCACCAAAAAATTATTTTAGAGAGCTAGAAAAAAATCATAACAAAACTTACCTGGAAGAAAAAAGGTCAATAATATCAATGTAATTAATGAAAAAATATTTGAAATAATATGGTCTACCCATACTGCCATATGGTAATTATCAAAACAGTCTAGTACTGGCTGAGAAACAGTGGTGAATTAGTGGAATAGATTAGATACACAATACATTGTAGTAAATAACCATAGTAATTGAGTGTTTGATAAACCCAAAGATCCAAGTTTTGGGGACAAAAACTAATTATTTGACAAAAACTACTAGGAAAACTAGAAAACAGTGTAGCAGAAACTAGGTATAAACCAGTATATCACACCATATACCAAGATAAGGTCAAAATGGGTATAAAGGGTGATATCTTAATCAAATTGGGAGAGCATGGAATAGTTTGCCTGTTTGATCTATGGATAAGGGAAGAATTTAGGACCAAACAAGATATAGAGAGCATTATAGAGAGCAATTAATGTGAATTACAATATGTAAAATAGTTTTATTATATTTAGTATAAAAGTTTTTGCAAAAGCAAAATCAATGCAACCAAAATTGGAAGGAAAGCAGAAAACTAGGGGGTGTGTATGTGGAATATTATAGTAAGTATCTCTGACAAAGGCCTCATGTCACAAACATAGAGAACTGAGTCAAATTTATAAAAATGCAAGTCATTCTGTAGTTGATAAATGATCAAAGAATATGAACAGGCAGTTTTCAGACAAAGTAATTAAGGCTATCACACCATATGAAAAATGCTCTAAATCACTATTGATTAGAGAAATGCAGATTAAAACAACTCTGAGACACCACCTCACACCTATGTGATTAGCTAATATGACAAAAAAGGAAAATGATAAATGTTGGAGGGGATGTGAGAAAACAGGGACTCTAATGCACTGTTGGTGAAATTGTGAACTGATCCAATCCTTCTGGAAAGCAATTTAGAACTATGACCAAAAGGCTACAAAACTGTGCATACCCTTTGATCCAGCAATACCCCTGCTAGATTTGCATCTCAAAGAGATTTTAAAAAGAGAAAAGATTCTATTTGTACAAAAATATTGACAGCAGGTCCTTTTGTGGTGGCTAAGAATTGGAGATTGGGAAGATACTCATCAACTGGGGAATTGCTGAACAAGTTATGGTATGAGATTGATTGTATATTATTGTACTCTAAGATATGAAGAGCAGGATGATTTTTTAAAGCCTTGAAAGACTTCATGAACTGATACAAAGTGAAGTGAGCAGAAACCAGGAGAACAGTGTACATGGTAACAACAATATCACAGCAATATTAAGAACTATGAATGGCTTATTCTCAGCAATACAATAATCCAAGACAATTCAAAAGGACTCATGATGAAAAATTCTATCCGTCTCCAGAGAAAGAACTGATGTTGGCTGAATACAGAATGAAGCATACTATTTTTCACTTTCTTTTTTGTTGTTGTTGCTGTTTAAGTCTTCTTGCACAAGATGACTAATATGGTAATGTTTTGATGATTGTACCTTTATAACATATGTCTGATTGCTCAGGGAGGGAGAGATAGAATTTGGAACTCAAAATGTAAAAAAAATGTTAAAATTGTTTTTACACATGATTGGAGAGAAAAAAAATAAAATATTTTTAAAATTACTACTTGCCAAGCACAAAGGCCAAGGTTATCCCACCTAAAAATATACTTGTGTATTTAATCCCTTCTTGGGATTCATATTCCTCACTCAGAGACTTGTGTCTCTCTTAGAGACCTCATCCTAGTTAATGGTGAGCATTCTCTATAGCTCCTAATCTTAATTCCTGGAGGATAGAGTATAAGGCAGATAACAGTTATTTGTCTAATAACTCAGAGCAATGAGTTTGGAGGTTCCTTAATTTTTAAACCTCTTCCATTTGAGAAACCACCTCTCCCACATTCTCCCATATATGTAAGGAGATGAGTGACACATATGGACAAACTAAACCCAGGGGTCAGGGCCACAGTCTCTTCTTCTGGCCTAACTATATTTCTGATCTTTCAAATGCAGATAGAGACACTCCAAAGCCTCAGTAGAACTTTAAGCCATACTATTATATATGATTAATTATGATAATTGATTCTTGATTTTGAATCATCTTTACATTCTCAGTATAAATCCAATTTGGTGACAATGAATTCCTACATAATGCTTTACAAAAGAATTCAGGTTCTAAGCAGGTGAATCACTTGTATGGCATGTCTTTTCAAGTGGCAAAGAGATAGTGTTCAATTACTGAGGTAATTTCTGACTTCTTCTTTCCTCTCTTACTGTGTCAATTCCTTTATATTGATTAAATTTCTGAAAGAAATTGTGAGAATCCATGTCAATATCTTTTTCTGTACCCAACAACAATCATTAACTTTTTTTCAATAGGTCAGGTTACAATTTTAGGTAGAGGAAACCTAGAGTATTGTATAGAGAGTTGTTATCAGAGCTAGAAAGAATTGAGTTCAAGTCCATCCTCCAACCCTGAGTAAATCACTAACCTTTCTAGGCAATTCTTTAAAACTATAAGTTGCAGAGAAAGTATTGACCTGACTCTTCATCTACAATTCATCTAGGAGTTTTCTAGCCAGGTTTAGGAACAGTAGATAAAGCAACAGACCTGGAATTGGGAAGATCTGAGTTCAAATCTAGCTTCACATATGAAACAGTCTGTTAACTCTGGGAAAATCACTTAACCTCTGTCTACCTCAGTTTCCTCAATTGTAATATGTGAATAATAATAGTACTTATTTCACAGAGTTGTGATGATTAAGTGAGATAATATTTGTAAAACATTTAGCACAGTACCTAGCACATAGTAAGCACTTAATAAATGCTTATTTCCTTCCTTACTTTCCTTCATCTTTTCCTTCCTTTCTTCTTTCTTTCCTCTTTCTTTCTCCTTCTCTTTTCTTCCTTCATTCCCTTTAATTCTTTTTCTTTTTTTCTTATTAAGAGGACACCAAAGGGCAGCTAGGTGATACAGTGGATAGAACATGGGCTCTGGGAGTCAGAAGAACTTGAGTTCAAATCTGGCCTGAGACACTTGACACTTACTAGCTGTGTGACCCTGGGCAAGTCACTTAACCCTGATTGCCTTGTGGAAAAAAAAAAAAGGACACCACAGTAAGATGACCAAGACTTCCCTGAAATGATATTTCTTACATTAATATATTATATATGATATATTCCTATATTTGCCTTTAAGCAAAATATGAAAAAAACCTCAACATTTATTCATTTTCCTCTCCAAGGGAGAGGGGAATCTGGGAACCATTCTTCAACTTTCTCCTATATTCTCATTTAATTTATACAGAAAAATATCAATACCAAAATGATTTGCTTCCTTTAATAGCGTATCTATTTGCTGCTCATTGAACATTTGCCTAACATTTAGTTTATCTGCAATTAGATTAATGTTTATATTTGGTCTAAAAATTATATGATTCATACAATCTCCTAAACTCCCCCTCCTCTTTTGCTATTATTGCTGTCAAAGTTGCATGTGTAAGATTGAGGAACATTTTAAAAATTATTTTTCATTGTTTCATGGGTTGCCATGGCCAAATGATTCCTCAATTCATAGAGAATTTGTGAGTGTTGAATCTGTCCATACTCATATAACACCTGTTTCATTAAGCTTTATCATAGACACTCTAGTTTAGGTGCTAAAGAGAATGAATGCAAAGCCAAATTTAACATATTTGTTGAAAAATATAACTTATTTGCTGAAAAAAACAGTTTGAATTGGTAGATAAATTTGTAGTTGAAAATTGTTTTGTTATGCGATGCTTCTCTCTATAAAGTCAGGGAGAATATATATGAACGAATTTTGATCTTTGAGGATTTATGGGAACTTGTAGATAAAACAGAGAAAAGTGAAGATACTTTTTTTTTTAAACCTCAAAACTGTCTTAACTCATTTAATGGAGAAACATTTTAAAAGAGAATTTCGAGATCGAACTCAGCATGTTCCATCTCAAGAACACGGGACCGAAGCTAGACCCCGAGGAGCTCAAGCGCAAGATGCATGAGGACGTGGTCTCCTCGGTCCGCAACTTTCTCCTCCACGTGGCCCTGCTGCGCGTCACACCCTGTATTTTAAAGAAGTTGGACAGCATATGAAGATCATGATTGAAGAGAGACATTGGCATGTGAGAGCATGAACTTCAGAATATGTTTCCGATTTCTCTTCCCATTTGCTAATTAACAGGCACAAAAAGACACCAGAAACTTCTGGTACTGAATAGAAATGAAAACTCTACTTACTAAGAATGAATTTGACCTCGGTGAAAATGCTAGCAACTGAAAGAAAGCATGAAGTTTTTTTCTCTTTGACACTGTTTAAGAAATGTTAAGCAGACTTCTTTGGTCTCATACTGCTGTGGTGACATCATACAACCTTCATAAATTTTGGTTCAGTTGTAAATAGTTTTATCATAGTTTGAAGGGAACTACCTCTGAAATTATCTCAATACTTCTGTTGAACCTCCTGCGTTTGTGAGGAACATGCATTGTGAAAGATTTTCTTGTGATTACTTTTGTTGAAATTGATACCATTATGATAGTTACCACAGTACTGTTAGTCTTTATTTTTAATAAATGTGCCATTTTTTAAAAGTAAAAAAAAAAAGAGAATTTCACGAGTAATTGGTAGATTCACAATTTGGCAAAACTGTTTGCTGTATTTACTGACTAAAAAGGAAAGGAAATTAAAAGGACTGTTGTAAATTTATTAGTTCTTCAGAAAAGGACTATATTTAAAGCATGTTGAGCAGAAACATGAAGAGAATTCTCCAAAGATATTTATCAATATTGGAAATGAACTGAACGTTGAAATTGTGTTTGCAGAAGTGAAGAGAAATTATTGGCTGTTACAATGAAGGTTTGAGGCAAATGTGAATGTGATCTTTCTTATAGTCAAATTATTGTAAATAATTATCTATACCTTTGTTTTTTAATGATTTTTATTAATAAATTACATGTCCTGTTATTTTAATATTTATTTAATCAGAAGAGATTAAAGAATTTACTATATAGAGAAATGAGTAGTTGCTATTAGAAATGGAGTTTCCTACGGTTTGTTAAATAAGGAATGTTTAGTAATTATAGTGGAGGTTCAAACTAATTAATTAATGAAGAAGCTGTAATTGTATTCATTAGAAAGAAAATATCTAAACGTACCCCTTGGGATAATGAGATTGAATTTGGCAATGGATCAAATGGCAAGCTGAGGGATTACCTACCTGGTGAGTGTAATAAATCCCAATAGACCTTGCTGCAGTTAGACTTACCCAGTTTTTGCTAGGCAAGTTATTGTCGGTTGTAAGCCTATATTCTTTGCCATCTATAATACTGTTTTCTAAACTTTCCACTCCTTCATAAAGATGACTGTTAAAGTGTGTGTGATCCTAACTATGCCTCCTTGGTAACTGAATTCTTTCTTTCTGACTGCTTACAGTACTTTTTTCTTTGACCTTGGAATGTTCATTTTAGGATTTATTTGAGAAGATTAATGAAATACTCTATTTCTACCTTGTCCTCTGGTTCAAAGAAATATCAACAGTTTCCTTGTAAGATTTCTTAAAATCTTGGGATACTGAGCGTTACAGTATTTAGTATCTCAGTGACAGCTAAGGCTGAAGATGTATAATTTATCCGCTCTGCCAAAGTGGTCAGTTCCAGGGCAAAGTGTGATCTCCCCACCCATTCCCACCCCCAACCCACTCCATTATGGTCTCTGCAAATTGCTAACCTGGTTTTGGATCTGAGCCACTGTAGACTGCTGCTGTAGTTAGCCACTATTAGACAGTTGGGAAGTTCTGCTGGTACAGAGTGAGAGAATTAAAGGTTCCTCTTTGACCTGGGATAACAACCCTGATGATTCTGCTACAGGTTTTAGAGTGGGCTGGAAGTTAGACTTGAAAATCTAATCTGTTCCTGGGCTTTAAGCTACATAGCTGCTGCTTGCTTCTGAACTTGCTTCTCTTTCAGTATACCACCCAAAAGCCTACAATTACACCTCACTCCAGAAGGCCATCCCTGGCACAGGTCTGTTCCTTATTCTTCTCTGTATATGTGACCTGGAATTGAGTTGTGAATGACTCAGATGTCAGTTGGGACCTGTTCCTGCATCTGCATGAGTTACAGTGCCCTGGCAAAAGTCCAGGACGTTCTCTGGCTGTGGTGTACAGCTTCTTCCTGTACTATAGTTCACCATGCTACAAACTCCTGGACAGTCCAATAGTCCCCAGTGTCTATAATCTTTTCTAGCAGTCTTCCTGTATAGATCTGGGCTGGAAAAAATGACTCACTATGACTTTTTCTTGGATTTACCCATCAGGCTTTGATCTGGTGCAATTTCTACATCTACTTGGACAAGTTTTGAAAAGGATCTCATTGTACTTCTTCCTGCTACTCCACCATCTTGGCTCCACCAATACCAAATAATTAATAATTTTGATGGCTACCACGTTGCAATGTAGGTTGAGTTTTGTATTGTCATGCTGTCTACTTTCATATATTTTTAAAATATTTACCTTGAGAATCTATGCTTTTTTTCTTCCAAATTAGTTTTTGTCTAATTCTAGAAAATATCTTTTCAGTAATTTGATTGGTATAACATCAAAAAGCAAATTAACTTACAAATATCATCATTTTTATATTTATATAAACCAATCATGAGTAATTAATATATTTTAATTAGTTATCTCCATTTATGTCAGAGTGTTTTACACATTTGCAAATTATTTATTTAAATCAAAGTACATTCATTTATGTTTATGCCTATTTATTTTCATCTTCTTAGATATTTGGCCTAATCTGAATTTGTTCTTTGTTTACTAGTCCTTTGTATGCTATATTTTGTTTACTATTACTATACTACTAGATTTGTGGCATCTATAAATTTGAAAAGCATAACACACATATGTCTTAATCCAAATCACTGAGAAAATTTTTGCACAGAATGTGAACAAGGACAGATCCATCAGTCAGACATATCCTCTAGGATTGAATAACAATTCATTGACTATTACACTAGGCTCCTATAATTGAACCAATTCTTAATCCACTTAAATGTTGGACAGCTGGAGAGATTGACAAAAGCTTTACTAAAATCCAGGTATGTACATTTACTCAATTTGACTGCAAATTCCTTAAGAGTAGGGACCATCCTTCTCATACAATGCCTTCAGCTCTGTGCATTACTGATTGCATATAATATGTACTTAATAAAAGGTTTTGAATTCAAAGAGAAGATAGTATTTGAATGAATATTTCCTTGACCACCTGCCAACTACACTGCTTTGTGGTAAGTATTTTTATAGGTTTATATTTCCCAAGGCAATGTAATAGAACCTTTTCCTTGCTGCATCATTTTCATGTAGCAACTATGTATTTATTTCCTCACTATCATCACCTAAAATACTTATCATGTCATATATGTAGTCCTATAACTGACATAAAAATACTTGAACATAACATAAAAGAAAGAGTATAACATAACATTTTCCTCCTTTGTAGTATAAATAACTATGAATTTTCAACTGTTTGCTTGGTGAGTCTTACTTTATCAGTTTGTTTTTAAATTATTTGGGCTAAATGTTTTAGAGTAACATTCAGAAAAAAAAAACAATTTTGAACTTACAAAGTACATTTGAGAAGTTCAAAATGCTTAGCCTCTTTCTATGAGTTCTTATGACTTCACTCTAATGGTTCAGATGACTGGAAAACCAAATTTCTAAAAACAATATTTTATCATTTCTAGGAGTTAAGGGATAATTTTACTGGTGATATTTCCTTCTTAAACCAGAACCCCAAGTGTCAGGACATAGTGGATAGCTAGGTGAAAGAGAAGTGAAAGAGAAGCTTTCAGAGGTCTCAAAAGACAATCATAAGAATGGCTACTATTTAGATATGGCTAGAGAAATATATTGTGGAATCTCTTTTTCCCAGGGTTACAATTCCAAATCACAAGTAGAAAAGTTTTAGGTTATCACATTTTGTTTTCTATACACCCAGATAATTTTCTAGTAAATCAATGTTATGGTATTTCCACGATTTAAGTGGAAATTTTTTTGACAACAAGACAATGAAACTTTCCCCTCAATAGCACCCATATGCCCAAGCATGTGATTATATTTCATATTTAAATGTTATTTTTTAGATAAAAAGAAAGCTTCATTGTAGCCCACACACTTCAATATGACAGGTTCTATCAAATTGTATAGAAATGTGCTAGCAGTTTAGAAAAAGATCTAATTATGCCAGACTCTTCCAAATCACTCTATCATAAAATGAAATACTTTATCTGTCCTGCAATTAGGCAAGAAAAAATTTAATGTTCAATGAAATTTTAGAATAAATAAGGATTTGTTGAGATAGAGAAATGAAAACACCTTTTAAGATAGCAAAAGAGGAATCTTTCCAGTAATGATCAATTTTCCAAGAAGCCAACACAAACAAATGCTTCTGGAAAAAAGCAATAGGAAAAAAAATTATAAGGTTCTGATGATCATGTAAGAACCTTAAATCAATTCCTGGGGGGATTTGAAATGAAAAAATAAAATAGTGAGAAACAATTTGAAGTTTGAACATGACATAAATAAGTGAAATAATTGTTTTAAAAGCAGGGTTAAAGGGTTATTTATTGAGGACATTCATTTTCAAGCTCTTCAAAAATGCCACATTATTGCTCATATTTACATCAAACTTTGCAAATAATTTGGTTGGGGGTATGTAGTCAGGAAACTTAAAACATTTGTAAAATTGAATTTGATCTTATTTTGTTTTTATTGTTCTGCTCATGAAATGGTCCTGAAATATTGGCACTGAATTACCAGGAGAGTACAATTTACAACTATATGCAGAATGCAGGCACATCTGACTTGTGCTTCTAATATAGTAAGTGATCAACCTTTTTCAGTAGTGCAATTTTCATATCTTACGTTCTTAGTTTTTTTTTTAATGATATAGGATCAAGGTACAAGCTAGAGCAGAATGGAGTTATTTTCAATACAAATATAATGGTGGAGGCTATGATCCTATATAATCTTTAGGAATTATTGCAAAGACTTCACAGCATAGAGGTCTGACAACTAAGTTTTCCTTATGGTGAAAGACCTCACAAAGCTAATGAGTAGCTCTGGAACTACTATGAAATAGCCCAATTTTGCAATGTGTTCAGGGTTT